CACTCAAATAACTTAGGGTTAGGAATTCCCAGTGCAGGTGAGGCTAGGGAAATATCATTGATATATGTCAAATTCTGACAGAAGCAGCAAGAAGACCTGTACCTTCCTGACTCCTAGCTGAGCTGGTAGAAACCCAGGAAGAGTGCTTAGTGGAATGGGGAAAAAGTGGAAGTTATCAAAAATCTAAGACATTAAAAAAGAACCTTTGGAATTTTTATCAGGTCTGATTTGTGGGTTTATAAATAGAAGGGATTAATTAATTAGCTGGGAAAATAATTCAAAAAATTGAAACCCTAGGGACAGACATCAAGAGATAGAAAGAAAATTCTTCGTCCTCCTTCCGCTTCACCTTTTCTCTTCATAGCAGAGCCACAGCTTGTGAATTCCTTTTTTACAACTATGCAATCAAGGTTCATTGCTTTCTTATAAGGCAATTAGTTCTTATTTGTTTGGATGAATGTTCTATTATTTATAAGGAAAGAATGGAATAATTTCCCCTACCAAATTTCTCCTATCTAATGTTAAAATCATAACGTTCACGTCGGCTCCTTCAAATTTATTCCCCAAGTGATGATCACAGCTGAGAGCTTATCTGTAATATTTATGATGATGATGGTAATAATGGGAAATATTTATTGAGCTTTTATTGTATGGCAGGCACTGGGGTTTACATATGCATTATCTCATTTAAGTCTCTCAGCAATCTTGTGCAACAGATACAGTTATTATCTCCATTTTATATTTGAGGAAAATAAAGCAGACTCAGAACAGTTAAATGACATGCCCAAGATCACATAAAGCAAATAAGTGGTCAGACTGCATTGGTGTCCTGAACGTAAGACTTTGATGATTTTTTTCCTTGGATGCCTCATGGTTGTTTGAATACTTAGAGGGATCCTTGGATGCTTTACTGGTTGATTCTGTTGCAGTTTGGCATTTCTGTCATCAGTTGGAGAGCTGGTCACTGCCAAATCTTTCTTTTCTATTTTATAACCAATGATTTCATTTCAAAGAAATGAGATGGATAAAAAAAAAAACAAGGGGGAAAAAAGCTGTCACCACAAACACATCATCATAGACATTTTAGGACTAAAAGTTTCCTTAAGGATGAATAATAAAACATGAAGAAGTCTGAGTCACAGAAATTCGACTGACTTGCTCAAGGTCAAACAGCTAGTTATATAATCACGTTTTCCTTTGTCAAAGAAGTTAAGTGTTTTAAGTAACTAATTTATTTTAATGCCGAGAGATCTTTATAAATCTTCCTGCGTTACTTAGATAAATAATTCCCCACTAAAATTGTTTTTCAGTAATTTTGTTTTGGCCACTTTAGTGTGTGTTTTTCATAATCTCTAACGCTGAATTTCTCATCAATTCAGCCCTCCAGATTTTATTAGGTTTTGCGTGCTCGGGAAATAACACCATCAAAGCAGAGTTATCTTCACATACGCAGGACAATTATATTGATATATCATGTGCTGTATTTTAATTTCAAAATTATTGCCTCATTGTTTTCTCCTGGAGCCCAGTTTTATTTCTTTCTTTTTATCGTTAAAGGTACAGCGACAAGTAATTCGCCCTTTAAAAAAAGAAAAGGTTTGCTTAAAAAAAAAAAAAATGTAGCTAGAAAAATCTCCCACAGAGTGAATTCCCACCGTGTTATGGAGGATGTAAATTTAGCCCAGTGTGATTCAAACAATCGAGTTAGGAATTTTAATTTAATGGTTTGTTCCTTTGAATTGTTAGAAGCTCACCTCATTGTGCAAGTTGTGTTTGAATTAGAGAAAATTGAACTAAAATGTGTTGCATTTGCCCCAATCAGGTTATTCTGGGAGGTCTGATTCACAGACTGAGTGCCAGACTAAAAAGAATGAATCAACATATCCAACAAGAGGTGGCTTAAATGATTCCACTTTAATAATAATGACTCTATTATCCCTCCGTACTTTAGAATTTAAATATTTGGTTTTTGTGGTGGCCATATCTTCTTAGCTGTATTAATAGGCTTGGGGATTTATCTTAGTTTCATTTCAGCATAACCCAGAAACACATGTTTTTGGTGTGTGGGTCAGAAACCTCAGTGCCTCACAGATTAGAGGGCTGTGAATCAGTTCCTGCCCGACTGACTGACTTGGTTGTGGCAAATGAAATTCTAGAGAAGAAAAAATGGTGGAGGAAACAACAGACAAGAATAAGAACCAATTATTTTTTTTATGATATTTTAGGGAATAGTCCAATAGGCCAAATGGGTCTAGATGATTGTGGTTCATGTTTGGATTTATAATTGTAAGGTTTGGTAAAATGCAGCACTTTTCTTAGAAAGTAAGAAAACATATAAAAAGCCCATCAAGAGGAAAGTAACTTGGTTATAAACCTTTTACATGTTTATCCATAAAGAAAGAAATGTTAATAAAGGGAGCTCTTTGACAATAAAAAGGAGTTCTTACCACTTAGAGGCTTTAAAAGTTAGACCGGGTAGGGACCTTACAGCGATATGCATTGTTCAATTTCATTTCAAATAGACTGAGACTAAGGCTCGGAGACACTGGGTCATGCCAAGGATCACACTGGTACTGATGGAGTTAGTTTCCTTTCATGCTATGACATCTCCTTGCCTTCTTTTGGGAGTGCTTATGTCTCAAATAACTGTCATTGCTTCTGAGTCCCTTTCCTTGAATTTAATGTTGGTGTCAGTTTATTGTACACACCTCTGTCCATTTGAACAACCATGGACGTGCCACATATGGTGGCATAAGTATTTCAACCACTAGTTAGTGCTGCAAGTATAGTGGCTCAGGATCTTTCTACCGTCCTGTCCTGTTGGTTCTATAAGCCTCAAGCCCTTCCACAGACTGATCTAGCCCCTGCTTTATTGTAATTGAATCCTTTTTGCCATGTAAGATGATGTATTCACAGGTTCCTGGGAGTAGGATATGGACATCTCCTGGGAATCATTATTCTATGTACCACTCACAGCCAATCACTTGTTTTGTTTTTTTTTATTTATTTTATTTCAGAGTATTACAGGGGTACAAACAGTTTGGTTACATAAATTGCCTTTGCACCACCCAAAAAGCATGTCCATCCCCCAGAAAGCGCACACTGCATCTGTTAGGTGTGAATTTACACATCCCCTCCTCCTCCCTCCCACCTGCCTGACACCCTTATGAATGTTACTTCCATATGTGCACATTAGAGTTGATCAATTATTACCAATTTAATGGTGAGTACGTGTGGTGCTTGTTTTTCCATTCCTATGATACTTCACTTAGAAGAATGGGCTCCAGCACCATCCAGGATAATACAATAGGTAGTTCATCATTCTTTTTATGGCTGAGTAGAACTCCATTGTATACATGTACCACATTTTATTAATTCACTCATATACTGATGGACACTTGGGTTATTTCCATGTCTTTGTAATTGTAAATTGTGCTGCTATAAATATTTGAGTGCATATGTATTCATTATAGAATGTCTTTTTTTCCTTCAGGTAGATACCCAGTAGTGGGAGTGCTGGATCAAATGGTAGTTCTACTTTTAGTTCTTTGAGGTATCTCCATGCTACTTTCCATTGAGGTTGTACTAGTTTGCAGTCCCACCAGTAGTGTATGAGTGTTCCTATCTCTCCGCATCCATTCCAACATTTGTTGTTTTGGGACTTTTTGATAAAAGCTGTTCTCACTGGAGTTAAGTGATATCTCATTGTGGCTTTGATTTGCATTTCCCTGATGATTAGAGATGTTGAGCATATTTTCATATGTTTCATGGCCATTAGTCTATCTTCTTTTGAAAAGTTTCTGTTCATGTTTTTTGCACAATCACTTGTTACAGAAAAAGACCCGGACTCTATAAAATAATTCAAGGTTGATTTTGAGCCGAATATGTGACTGGCTCAGAGTACATGGTCTCAGGATGTCCCCAGAAAATGTGCCTGTGGTCTCTGGGTTATAGTTTGGTTTTAGACATTTATGGAGCCAGGAATTATACATTAAGACTCTAAGTCAATACATGGATGGTATACATTGATTTGGCCTGAAAAGGTGGAGCATCTCTAAGGGGGGGGTGGGCTTAAAGGTTATATGTGGGTTTAAAAATTCTTTGATTTGTAATTGGTTAAAGAAATGAAGCTTTGTCTAAAGGCTTGGAATGTTCTAACTTAAGGAAGTCTGTTAATCAGAGACAAGCCTGGGACATACACCCAGACTCAAGTGATTTGTTAAGTAAATGAATGACCTGCAGATGTGGTTAAGCTTTGACTTATATAGCCTTAGGCCTGTTAATGAGTTACAAAAGATAGCCCCAAGAAGAGAGGAGGGCACGAAGAGGCATGCCTGACCTCCCTTCTCATGGCCAGCAACTCAGGTATTTCTGGGATTCCCTTGGGCAAGAGTGGGTCCATTCAGTCAGCTGGGGTAGGTTAAGATTTTATTTCAGTTCACACACTTTTGGTCATTTGCTTGCTAACTCACCTTCACTACTTCATACATAGATACCTATTGTGCAAAATATTGTCTGTACATAAAAATGGGAAAGCTAGACTAGTTATCCCCTTTGTCTGGAAGAGGCAATGGAGCTTCCAAAAGAATAAATTAGTTGTCCACGAAGATAAAAGTGAGCAGGGGAGTTGGGATTCAAATCCTGTGTTTCTGACTTGAAGTCTAGGATTTTAACTGGTTTACTATAAAATCCTCAGCTTTCATTCACAATAAGGCAGTGATTTTTCAAACTTACTTTAGCAGCAAAACCTTATGTTAAATGAAATCTTACACGCATAACTGATATGTCCCAATTCACCATCTAGGGGTTCAAAACAAGGTCATCTGTCTTTTAATATTCAAATTAAATGCCTCTAAGCCCCATCTTACTGTCATAGAAATGTCTCTTTTCTCTTTGGACCTTCCTTCTCATAACAAGCCCAAGAACACTAAAAGTGTGTATTCAGTCTATGACACATAAGCCACCGCACGAAGAAGTCCAGAATAGTCTAATGTATTTACCAGTAGCCAAGATCTCCCTCCACTGCTGTTGTTATTGCTCCTGCTCAGTGTCACTGATGGAGACTAGGATCTCAAAGCCACCGCAGTGTGTGTCGATGTGAAGATCACAGCAGAAACCTACCTGTACACACTGGAATTGTTGGCTGGTGGTAGACTCTGGATATGAGGAGTAAAAAGAAACTTCTCTCACACGGTGTTAGGCAGAGCTATGATAACCTATACTCCTAATTAAATGGCTCTACAGGAAATTGCTCTTTCATAACATAATCTACAGCCATTTTCCTAAAGCAGTCCCCCCATAGTGTCTGGGGAGCTGGGACGTGAGGATTCTCCTGTCTCAGAAACAGCTCATCCAGAACACCGGAATCCTAGCCCATGAGATTACATAGAGTATTCCCTTGGTCCCAAGTTCTTTTCCACTTCATGCATGCATACAAACGAATGATATTATTTTTAGAGTTGCTAGAACTAGATTAGGTGTCAAGAAACAAAAAATAAAAATAAAAACACCAAATACTAGTGGCATGAATAGGGCACAACTTTCTTTCTTTCCCGTGTTCTCTTGTTGCTCTACCATGTGTTTATTATTTTTCCAGGTCAACTCATAGTCCAAGGCATTTGCTAAATCTGGAATCTGCAGGCATCACATCCATATGGCAGCCAGAAGAAACAGGGAGAGGTCAAGAGAGAGAATACCCCTTACTTTAACGATACATTCTTTACATCCCACTGTCTAGAAACTTAGATGGTCAGATGGCCAAACGTATCTGCAAGGGAGCATGAGCAATATGAATTGTATTCTGAGTGGCCACATGTCCCGCTAAAATTGAAGGATGCTGTTCCTAAGAACAAAGGTAACAACCAGCAGTCTCTATTCCCAGGGGAACACCCTCCCTTATTACACAGTCATCCCATTTTATAAAACAGATGCCAGCAGACTGCTCTGGTGGAAGCAGCAGTGGTGTCCTAGAAGCCCTGTCCACTTAGCCTTCTACACCTTTGCTCTCGTCCTTGATACACTGCTAAGAAATATAAGACTACAGAGCTCAATTTGTACAAAGATGACAGCTCGAAGCTTAAAAAGGTTACCTGCTTTTGACAAACACATTGACATTCTTTTCCTGACAAATTTAAAATTTACAGAAAAATACAAATGATAACATGCTTACTGTCCAGATTTACGCCCATTGCATAAACTCCTAGTGTTAGTTAAAAAAAAAAAAATACAGCATTTCAGATTCTGCTTGAATTCTTTTTAAATACCACAGAGCCTCGTGTCCTGCTTTCTTCGTTTCTATGGCCAACCTTTCTTGCCCTCCCCAATGTGTATCATAACATTGGTGTGTGTCCTCTTAGTTTGCTTTTTCCCAAGGTTAAAAGAAAATCTTTCCACAAGTTAAATTTAACAGAGTTTAATTGAGCAAAGAACAATTTGCGAACTGGCCAGCCCCCAGAACAGGAACAGGTTCAGAGCGACTCCAGTAACATTTACAGAATGAAAAAGGTAAGTGAGGTACAGAAAACGGAAGTGAAGTACAAAACAGCAGGACCAGTGATTGCCTTACCGGAACCGAGCTTAAACAGCTGGCTGCCTGTGATTGGCTGAAACTTGGCTACTTGCTACAGGAGTAGGCTTCAGTCTGTTTACACATCAAGTTCGGTTGCAGTTCTCAGTGTACGGAGAAACCTTTAGGCCAAACTTTATATATGTATGGCGGCAGCTTTAGGCCAAACTCAATTTAGCAGAGATTAACTTAAGTCCATACTTTATCTTGATTTCCTTTGTTTTTACCTAATGCCCCTTTTCTGCTCCAGGATTCCATACAGTAATATCACCTTGTATTTAGTATTTTAATAGTCGTGTCTCCTTGGGTTCCTCTTGGGAGTGACAGATTCTCATACTTTGCTTGTTTTTAATGACCGTGGCAGTTCTGGTTAGGTATCTTGTAGGATGCCTCTCTCCTAGGTACATTTATCTACATGATTTAAGACTTTTGATGTTCACCTTCATCACCTAGCTGAGGTAGCATTTGCCCAATTTCTCCATTGTAAAATTACTATTTGTGTGTGTGTGCACTTTCTGTACTGTACTTTTTGGAAGGAACTCACTATGCATAGATCACACTTAAGGGGTGGGGAATTATGCACCCCTTCTTGAGCATAATAATTGTCTACATCTATTATTTGAAATGCTTCTGCATGGGATATCTCATCCCCCCCCCATTTATTTATTAAATCATTTATTTATGTCAGGAGGGATTCACAGATATTTATTTTATACTTTAGGTCCAATACTACTTTGTCTTTTGCTCAAACTGTTTCAGCTTTGGACATTGGGAGTTCTTTCAAGTGGTTACTGTGTCCCTTTGACACACCCCTAACCTACTATTGTCATTTTCTTGAGTTATTTATTTCAGCAATTCTTTATTTTCTAGTACTACAAGATGCTCTAGGCTACTCATGTACCAGTCCTAGAATCAGCCATTCCTCCAAAGAGCCCTCTGATCCCTTTGATTAGAGGATAGTATTAAGAACCCAGATCCAAGCACTAGGCACACTTACATTTTTTATATGTGTGTGTGTGTATGTGTGTGTATATATATATACATATACATATATATATTCATTATACATGTATATATACATGGAGGATTTTTTTCATTTTAATAAGATTTAGTCATAGGCTAACAGGAAAAAATTCCTATTGTGGCATTTTTAGTATTAAGGGAATAGGAGGCAGAATATTTAGGATATGATTCATTGGGGCCAATTTTTACAATGTAAAAGCAATCACTTACTCAAATTAAAACCTTTAAACTTTGAGTCACAAACTCCGTTTGAGAGGCTGCTGAAGGGTAAACACATATTTTGCCCAAGAAAAAAAAAAGTATAAAGAAACATACACAGAATTTGCTCAGGATTCCTGAGGTTCATGAGCTCTCTGAAGTTCTGACCTGGGGCAGCCAGTGATTCCTGGGCAGGGGACCATGGCATTAGAAGAAGGCCAGAAAGTCACATGCCCTGTTTGCTGGTTTTCTTAAGCCTCATTTTCATTGTGACCTCTTTTCTGGCCAAGGAAATGGAGTCATTTAACAAATACATCAAAAAAGGCTGATCTAGTAATATAGTTTCTTCACTGGTTGATTACAAACATTTTATTTTAAGCCGCTCCTTTTATGTAAAATCATGATGGGATTGTTTTGAGTTCCTTTTTGGTTTCTATGATTTAAAGAAAAAAAAATCAGAGGTAATTTGCATGGTTTCTTTAATTCATATCTCTTTCAATTTTGTTTGAGTCACTTCCTTTTTGCATCAATGGTTCCTATTTAAACCAGTACAGTGGGAAGAAGGGTATATTTAGCATAAAGTTGTGCCTGTGAGAACTGACATCAGTGTAGGACCGAAAGAGTTAATTGAGTTAAATCTCAGTACATTTTTCTGAAGCTGTGTTTAACACTGATTATTTCAAGGTGGTTTTTATAATCACTTCCAAATGTTTTAATGAGGCTGTTTTTCATTTTTCTCCAGACTTCTTTAAATTTTTTTTTCCTTTCCATATTGATTTTCCAGCCACTTTCCTTAATGCCGCCGTTGGCAGGCCCAGTCATGCACTTTTACGGTTTGTTCCGGAAGCTTCCCTCCACCTCCCAGCCCCATCTCTCTTCCTGTCTCCTGGGTGCTCTTCATCCGAGGAGAACGCTATTTCGGTCTAATTCCTCATGGTTTCTTTTGTAGTCCAAGTCCCAGGACATGTGCAGTTTTTATTTCAATCTGTCAGTCTTAGTTGTAGCTACCTCCTGTGGTCATCTTATTCTTTAGAGATCCCTCTGGAATAGACTATACAAGATTTTTTTCTATTTTATCTAATTCATTGATTACAAACATGGGGTATCTGTTTAATTGTGTTTGCATTCCTTTGGTTTCCGACTTTTGAAGCACTTGTATCCCTTTCCCCATCCCTGGGTTTCCCCACTCTGGCAAGGGGGCTCTTTCCTACTGTGTCAGGTAGCAATAGTCAATTAGGCTGCCCAAGGAAGGCTGGGCTGTGACACATGTCACATGCCACAGCTTTCAGACAGTTCTGTGTAAACACACATTACCAGCCAGCCCAGGCTGATGTCAGAGATTAGAGTGAGAATGCTCCTGCCATTCCTTCAGACGGAGGTCCTGTTAGGTCATGATAAACAGCCACAAGATTTATGGCTTCCCAAAGAGGAAAACCAATTCCCCAGACTGTTGCTGGTAGTGACAACTGTATGCTGGACGCTTTCCTTCTTGCAAACACCGTGATACGGAAACAAGATCACTCATCAAATGCGTTGTTATATCTTGGTGCAAAGAGTATTGGGTATTTTCTAAAAGGTAATGATAATAAATGGGCCTGCTTTTCCTATTTCCTTTGACTCACTTGCCTATTTGAATCCAGAAGCCTATTCTAAATTTAGTCCAGAATGTTTACAAATATAGTTTTCTCCCTGAACTGTATTGCTTACACAAGCTTATTGAGAGATTTCATGTTTTTATTTTGAAATCAAAGTCATCAGGGTATATCTGTGTTTTAATGGAGAGAGAAGGTATGTCTCAGGTTGATGTCAAGGTCTCTGCCAAGGTTATCAGAATTAAAAGCATTAATGTAGCGCCCCCTATGTACATGCTTGGGTATTTAATCTTGCTGATTGACTATGCCCCACAGATGAGGAACTATTTATACCTGAATGCTATAACAGTAGTTCTGTCACTCAATGGGGAGAAGGCAAATTAGGTAACTTGTTTAAGAAAAGCTTTTCAAAATTGGCATTATGTTACAATGTTAACATTAATTTTCAAGACTAAACTGCCATTTTGCAATATAGTAGTAATACTAAAAGAATAATAAATTATAGACAAATAATAAGAATCTATATTTTCCTAGGACCATTCAAATAGAACCAAGATGATTGTCAAATCATTTGGATGAATATTTTCTCCCAAACCCAGATGTTATCTCTACACATATCTAAACATGCGAGTATTTGGAAATGTCAATTTAGGGTTGATATTCTCTCCTTCCAACCAGATGTTTGACACCCTGTGAACAGGGTTGTGTGCAGCTAAAATTTCTGTATTAAGCACATTCATCAGTAGCAGAGGTTGAAGGACAAAGACCCATTTGAAAAAAAGCTTTGGGAAAATCACAGTATCTGGGTCTCTGTAACATGAACTGGGTTCCCAAGCAACATCCTTTCATGATTTCTTCATTAATGCCCAAAGAGGTGATTGATTTGACTCTAGTCCTAGTCTGCTTGTGCTATTCTAAACTTAAGAAACAAATGTTACTTGAATGTGGGGTCTTTTATTAATAAGATTAATTGGCATAAAATTTAGTAATTGAGAAAGGATACCAAAAAGTAAAATAAAGTAAGCGTTCTAATGAGAAACAGATACCCCATCCCCAAGGAAATATATGTGAGCACGGATGTAATGTTAATACAAAGAAGAGGAAAAACCGTGTAGCTGCTGCATGCAGTGGCGAGCTGCCTCCTAGGGCCATGTATACCAGCTTCCAATTCTGTTTCCCCCTATTATCTCCAACTCAGAAAGATTCTGCTTTTGGAGTCGAAATTCTCCGTGCTTTGTTTTACCCTGAGGGAATGTATTCAGTTTTTCCGGAAGTTTTTATTTTGTGAAAGCAAAATCTCTTCGCTTTTATCTAGGCAATGATGTATTTTAACAAACACAGGGCTGGCAGTCCCAGCAACAATTAGTCCAGTCTTTGCATTGCCCCGAGAAGGGATGGGAAACACCAGCTCACTCCTACTGGCTTCTGTATCCTCATTCATGTTTTATCTGTTCTGGCATGCCTTTCTTTTTGGTTTCTCTGACTGTGACCAATCGCAGGGGCAGCTTGAGTTCCGCTCAGTCCATGAAGTCCTTCCTCTGGACTCTGCCCCCTTGCACTCCTCTATTTCCTTTGGCGCTGATTGACACTGACTCCTGATCAAGCCTTTGGTTAAATATTTTCTTCCATTTCTTTCTCTCTCTTTCACCTGTCATGTGTTAGCCTCAGTCTTATCAGCTAGACTGTGGGCAGCTTGAAAGACTAGAGACTCCATCTTCCATGAGGTCCCTTCATAACTGCAAGCCTCATGCCAGGCATGTGACTTTGTGCCGTGTGCCACTTGTGGGTTTGATGAGCTTGGGGAACTAGGGGAAGTTCCTCCTTCTTGAAAGGAAGGAGCCCCTGAAGAGTGTATTTGAAAATATTTCCTAATTATGTTGTCAATGGATTATAAGAGATGACTGGGGTTTCTGAGAAAGGTGTCACATCACAAGTTATTAATTGTTGTCCACTTGTTGTGAATACATTTCAAAACTGCTTAAGAGCAATTATTTCAAACAGAATTATCCTAACATTATTGTTTCAGCAAAGTATCCGACAACACTGTCTTTTTGTAGTCTTTTGGGACACCCAAACTGAGTCATCTCAGTGCTGTATGGATTGTTTTTCCACATGTTAAAATCAGTTTTACCTGCATTTTAAAAATGTGACTTAAAATAATTCACAATGCCATTTTCCCAATCGACACACATCCCCTATTGCACTAACGCACATTTCTTGCTGCACCAATGGACATTTTAGATTTTAGTAACATTTAGTAT